CACATGGTCAGAAATACTAGTTACTGACAAATCTTTAATAATCAGTAAAATGCTGTTGGGAGGGGGGAAGGTATAGCTATTTTTTTTTATTTTATTTCCAGGAGTGGGGACTACAAAACAGGTATCTTTGCAGAATTGTGTGTATTACTGTTCTAAAGTCTTAATCTGGGGATATTTTCCCTCACATTAAGCACAGTGAGCTAAATGAAGTGTTCTGTGCTCCATTATGTATTTTCATAGTTTCTGAACAGGAGCCAATTTAAATAGTTAAAATCCATTTACGGGTAACGTTCCTCACAAACACTGCACCACTGAGACTATTTGTCTTCCTGAACTTGTGCTAGTGCTCACTGCATTAGCAGTTTAATCAGATTTGTTAATGAATAATGTTTCACTTGCAAAGTAGAACTTATGTGCATTAAGCTCTAGATTATGGAGGTGCCACAAGCTGGGGATGAAAGGTAGTGCGCCCTGAAGAACCTGGGGAACCCAGATCATAGCCAAGCTCCTTCTCCCCCTTGCTCCTGGATGGGATTCCCACCGGCCAGCTACCAGCCCCAGATGTGCCCATCCCACACTCATTGGGCTCCACAGGCAGCTCTGAGCAGGGCAGGCCCATTGCTTGCCTGCTTTCCCCCAGTCCTCTGTGGGGCTGAGGACAGCAGGTGAAAAGGTGATTTTCCTGCTTTTTTTTTTTTTTTTTTAAAAAAAAAACAAAAACAAAACAAAAAAAAAAAAAAAAAAAAAAAAAAAACAAAAAAACAAGGCAGAGTACAAGCATGCTGACTCCTGAAAATAACAGCTTAACACTGTAGGTGTAGTTCTTATATTTCTGATTACCGGTATGTTTTCCCACTGGTGGCTTTCAAGGCTAACTTTCTTTAGCATAATATTATAAAAAATTAACCGAAAATTGGAAGACTGATGCAGGTCTTCAGTTAATGTATTCAGCCCTGAGCAGTTTTAGCTCTGATACTTCTTCATGCTTCACCCTGATTTTTATCGTGAAGGTTCGTTCATGCCTTTTCTCAAGCAACTTCCATTTATTAGTCAAATACACACAGAAGCCTACATCCCCTCCTCCAAACCGGGCAGTCTTTCTGCTGAAGTACAAGCTAGCTTTTACGTTCTGAGTAATGATAACTCACAGTACCGTGAATGAAAATAGTCATTTAATTGTAATGTAGAACAGCAGAACAGAAGTGGGAAGTAAGGTTTTATTTCTGTTTGAAGCTAAAAACTCCATTTCTCACTTTCTTATCACATTTTTGGTTTTGTATGCCTTTGAAATAGTGATTATAGAAGACACTGATTTGAACTATGTCATAGAAAACTGTATACCTTTTTTTTAATTTTTATTTTTTGCTTTGAGGGCCTGGAAGTACTTATATGTACCTATATACAAAAACCATCTTACTTTATTCCTAGTTTTGTAGTGTTGTGTATGTGTTTAGTGTTGTTTTGTTTTGTTTTCTTTTTAAATACAAACCAGAGCACTGAATTAACCTAGTGTGTTTTAGATTGAACAAGTGTCTAACTTTGAATCAGGGAAATAATTAAATCTGCATTTAATCAGGTAACAGAAAATCAGATCCTGAATCCAGATATTTGTGATAGATTCCTTCTTCACTTTGCTTGGTAAAGCACGTGTGTAGTTTTGTGAATATCCCTATTATCCTTCACAGGAGTTTCCTACCCAGAGAAGGCCAGTATGGTCTCAGCTCAGATTATCTGAAAGTGCCTTGTCTAAGCAATCTTATTTTAATACTGCAAATTGTAACTTCTCTCGAGTCATTTTGAAAGCTGGCTCCAAAGCAGCAGGAGGCAGGGCCTCGCTGTGGTGACTTCACAGGCTGCGCCATGTTGTGCCTGGCCACTGAGCTCTGCCTCAGCAAGGTGAGGCCCCATGGGCTGTGCCCATGACCTGCCAAAAGCCTCCTGTGGCCAGTAAGCTGGGCTCTGTGTTCGCCGTCCCGCACTAATGCGACACCTTAAAGGGATGAGCCTTAGGCAGAGGTGAAGCAGCAGGCACATAGGTGAACACTTGAGAAAGCCATGGCAGGTCTCGGCTACTGGGACCTCCCTCAGCCCCCAGCAGTGGAGGCAGCAAGTAATAGCAGTGCTGCTCCCCCAGTGTGACCAGGAGCCCTCCGAGCTCCTCCTCCTCCTCCTCCAGCCTGAGCAGCCTCAGGTGAAAGGTGGTGCTGACAGCTGGGCCTCTGGCAGCAGCACAAGGTGCTCATTCAGGCTGGCTCCACGCACAGCATTCCCCTCCTGCCCAGCTGGTGCTAACTCAGGAGTGAGGTGCTGCCATTCTCAGCCTGGGCCACTGAAACAATCCTGCTTTTTGTTTGTTTGCCTTTTCCCTCTTAAACATAATAAAAACGAATGTTTTGTGCTTTCCTGCAGCCCTCTGGCAGGTGTGGACCAGCCGGCATGGCTGCCCTACAGCAAGGCCGGAGCTTGGGCCTCCCTGCCCGGGGCTCCAGCAGCCCGGCGCCATGTCCCTGCGGCAGAGGTGACGAGCAGCACTTGCTTGTGCAATCAGGCTCTCGCCACAGCGGGCGCCTGGGGCTGAGGCTTTAACAATGTGCACACTGAGGGAGTCAGGGCACCGGGCCAGCTCCACCAGGGTCAAACGCACGGTGCGGACGTCACTGTTACTTACTGCTCTTCTGCTAGCCTTCAGTTCCTTCCTGGTTTTATTTATTCCTTGTGGTGAACGCAAGCTGAATGCTCCGTTTTATCCCTAGCAGGACAGGGCACACCCAGTGAGGAGAAGCAGAAAGTTCATCGTGGCTCCAGCCAAGCCCGGAGTCTCCACAGGGGTTACTGTCAACAGTAGCTGGTGGGGCTCATTTCACCAGGGAAATATGACGAGCAAAACTTAGAGAAGGAGACAGAGCCAAATCTGTCAGCTCCGTCCAGAGCAGAGCTAGGTAAAGCTGCTGTTTGTTGGGTTACATCAGCTGCTGTGTCCCCTGTTTCCTTGTGTAAAGGCACAAAAAAAAAAAAAAAACAGATTGTGACTGCAAACCTGATCTTGTACATTTGCCACTCTGGCACTGCATTTTAGCTGTCAGGTGCTGTCAGAAGGGTAGAAATCATTGAAATTAATGTGGATGTGACTGATTACTTTCTTTGAGTGTACTTCTCTCTTACTTGCACATGGGAGGAACATCCCAGTATCTCCCACTGATCCTGAAGGTCACCTCCTTCTTCTGCTTTGAGATTTCTGTGCAAGTTTATCTGGCTGCTCTTCCTAATTGCTGCAAGGTTTCTACTCAGCACCCCTCACTGTGTCAGATCCTGTGTCTCCTCCCTTCCAAATGCACTGTATGCTTGAGAGGCTGCAGAGTGTACCTCCTACCCCAAAAAATGCCGTAGCTTGCCCTTTGGGTGATCCCTTTGGATGATCCCTCGGTAGCCCTGTGGTAGAAACAAATATTTCAAATTGTTGCTTAACTGACTCTGCTTTTCTGCAAGCTCCCCTCATAAATCCAGCAGGCTTGGAGGAAGTAATTGCTCCATCTTTGGCTCAGGCTAATTTCTAGCACCGTGTAATGTTATATAAATACTCAAGAGGCAGGTTTTCCAGGAGAGAAGATACTACCTATTATTAAGCGCACAAGCAGTTCAGCTCTGTCTGAGTTTACCCAGGCTCTTAGAAACTTCTGAAGCTGTACTTCAGCAGAACCAGGCTTTCACCTTTTCAATAGACACAGGACATTCTCAGCAGTTTGGTATAATTATTAGCACAGTGACATCCACACCAAAATTACATGATTTCATTTCTTAGTCATGTGCATGCAATGAGATACCTCATACTCCTTGGGTAGCTCTGGTATCCCTGTATGCACAGTCCTGTTTCCTTTCTGGATGTGGTACTGAAATACTACAAGGTGGAAAGCCATGATGCCGAGATATAAAACACATACGAAGAGCAGAGCAGCTCATTAGCACAACAACTGCTACTATAGCCAAAGATCTTTGCACAGACTATACTTTTGTGCAGACTGAATTATGCTATATACATGCGAGAGACAAAAATAAGTCAGTGAGAATACTGTTACATAAATAAAGTCATATTTATTTCTTTGGCTCAGGAAAACATTACAACTAAAATATTGAAGGAGGTCAAAGAGGGAGGTCAAAACTAAATAAAAAAGTAATAATTGGTGAGTCCAGCTTCCTTCTGATAAACTGGTCAAATGGGACAGAGCAAAACAAGTTCTTGAGCTCTTCAGTAATCACAATTGAAATAACTACATGTAGCTTCAGAGCACACAAGAGAGGAGGCTATTCTTAGCCATGCCCTAGCTAACGTAGACACGTTGGCTGGAGAGGTAGCTACAGCTGAAGCTGCAGTGAGTGGGGCGAGCGGTGCTGTACTTGTTTGAAAGCGAAGCTTCCTCTTTAGTTGAGAACACATGGAAACAGCTGAGGAAAACCTGACTATTTTAGAATACTTTAGGAAATGGGCAAATTAGATCTGACAGAATAGTGATAGCTAAAATAATGAATGTAAGACAAAAGGCGCATCAGGGAATTCTCAGACACCTTTCATCATAACAAAACCAAAAGCCATGCAAGATATGGAAAGAGATATGGAAAGAGATTTTTCTTTCATGATAAGGAAAGATCTTCTCATTCTGGCAAGTTATTCCCAGTCAGAGGAGCAGGAGGCTCTGCTGCATCTGCCTGCAGAGCTGGGTATTGCTTGCACAAGACTTCAGCACTGAGGGAAGTTGCTCAGAGTTCATGCTCGCAGACATAAAGTACTTTTTTTTTTCCAGCTCATGTATAATGAGGGAAACAAAGTATTACTGAGACCTTACCAGTATTCAAGAAAGGACAATTAAATGCTCAGAAACAGGTCATGAGCTTATCTACAGTGATATTAACTAGGATAAAAATCTTAAGAGATTTAAATGCTTATGATTCACAGCATATGTAAGTACTGACTGATGAGACTTAAGGAAATATTTCCCTTTAGGGCAAGCTTTTCCATAATCAACCATTGCAGGCATATTTCCTCTGGTCCAGGATCCCAAACTACAGGGACAGGACAAGTCACCTTCTGGCACATCTTCCTGCAAGGTGATACCTGTGGCCGACAAGCCCTGCTCTCAGGTATGACTGCTGTTAATGTAAAGTCCATTTTTGGTTTTCATCATGCAATTATTTTTTATGTATTTCTTCCCCACTTACTTCCTTTTCCCCATTCTAAGCTTCTTCCCAATTAATCTGGTTGAAAACCTTTGAGATACTGTGAAGTATCTCAAGTTATCAAGGTATATCAAGATACATATCAAGACGTGTGATCCGATGCTACATGCAATTAGCCAGTAACTGGTATGAGGAAGGAGTGCTTGTGTACGTGTGTGGTGTTACTGCAGGACCAAGTAGTGGCCTATGCAGAATAGTATTTCAAGAGGAGTTCCCAGTTAAACTGTAAAGTGTCTACTTCTGTTGTACTGGGAAATTCCTCAGTATGGTCTGGGGCCTGCTTTGGGCAGGGTCTCGGTTCTGTAGTAATCACCTGCCCTGCTTCAAGCAGCTGGTGCGGGTGCCTGCACCTTGCACGTGGAGCCACTTTGTGTGCTCTGGTGGAAGGAGACCAACATCCACAGCAGTAACACGATCTATAGCAAGTCTCCTGCATCACAAAGGCATTAAAAGTTAAGATCAACTCCCTTCTCTGTTGACAGATCTTTATGAGCCTCCCACTGGAAATACTGAAGTCTGCAGTTAAAATGAAAATGTTTAAGAAGTATACTTTTGTCTGTATTTTCCTTGGCTAGAGGCTAAAGTGAGTACACTGTGCAACTGTGATGCAATAAAGGAGGCTTCAGGGAAAGAAAAGAGCATGAGATGTGTATGTTATAGATGTAAATATCACTGGCAGAGCTGTGCTGCAGAATAAATTGAAAGGTTTATAATGGGTTTCTGTCAAGAGGTTGCATAATGGTTAGAAAGGCGATACAGTTCAAATTCACAGTTCAAGTCTAGAAATGGCAGCAGATGGAAAAATATTGATTTATATTCGTGACAGTAGAAAAATAAAGGAAATAATTGAGCTACTTCAGCTAGTTTCGTGTTAAAAGAACAGTGTTCACATTACAGGTGCTCCTTGCTACTGGGTGCCAGGGTGACAACAGCAGAGATGCCTGTACTCCAACCACTGGTTTGCATCTCTGAGCTTTGAGGGCCAAAGTTAATTTTAACAGCTATCAACACTGAATTTGGTGAATCTATCGTTCAGCTAGAGCAACTGAAAGTAGAATTTCCCCTCTGGGAACAAAAGCAAGAAAGGAAAAAACAAACAAAAAAAATCTACTTTTATCAGATTTTTTCAGTGCTGAATGGAATCATGCTACTGGGAGAATGGGAAAGGTGTCAAAGATGCAGCTGTAACCTCCCATATGCTGATCAGTCTGTACTGACTAACCCTGGATGACTTAAATGACCATGAGATCAGTCCAGTTTACGTTGCTGGAATTCATTTTTCATGAAGTAGAGAATCGCTGGAGCAGAGCATCCCAAATACCCCTTTGTTCCCAGTTATAATCCTTAACGAGATTGGAAAGGCACAGAAACCTCTTGCACTTGGCTTTATCCCCTTATGGAGGGAGTTTGCTTCTGGTCACTTAGAGCAAAATACCTGTTCTTTGTGTCACTTGTGCAGGACCCGGCTTTTTAATTTGGGATTTGTAAGCCACCTGCATCAGCGCTGCACCTAGACTGAATGGTTTGGAAGAGTTCCCAGTGCTTCCCACTCCTCCAGACAGTTGCCTTCTGCCCAGGCAGCCAGGTTTCTCCCTGGGAAGCCAGGAGAGCTGATGGTGGCTTGGTGGCTCTGCCCTCGATGCAGGCTAGTGAGGCAGCTGAGGCAGGGATCTGAAAGGGGAACGTGCTCCTGCATCCAGGCTGGCACACGTGGGATAACATCCGAGCTGAGGAGCGGCATGCAAAGTGAACTCCTGCTGCTCCTAACCTCTCCAGCTGCATTTACACTACGTCAGGGTAGTCCTCTGGAAGAAGTAGTCACAAGTCCACATCAGCAGAGCTGGGTCTGAAGGCCCTCGTCTGTATTCCTTTGGGAAAATCCCGAGTGCCTGGTACTGGGAGCACTGCTGACAGGCACACAGCTGATGCGACTCCTTCCACACGTCCATCTGCCCCTGTAAGTGACAAAGCAAAGCAACAAAAATGACTGGGATTTCTGGGGAACCTCGGCTTCTTCCTGAAGGAGTACTAATGTTGGCTGCTGCAGGAGCAGATGGGATTTGTAGGACCCCCAAGCTCCATCTGTTCACAATAGACTTGATGAGCCCAGGATCCAGGGCACTGGCTGAACGCAGTGGTTAGCCCAGTGCTGTCAGCTGGAGGTGGAGAACAAGTGGGTCAGAGCAGCAGGATTAGAAAGCAGAAGGTAAAAGCTTCTTTCTGGAAAATGACAGAAAACACTTTTTACTGCTGTTGAAATATACATGTGGAGCAGCCAAAGTCTAGCAAGACCTAAATCTGACTGGCTATCCTCTGAACAGCCTTTTGCCTTCTGGGTTACCTACAGCTGTGGCTACGCTGACCAAATCAGCTCGCTGACTGCAGCGTGCAACCTTTTACTTAGTGGGTGGAGCTGGCACAGCAGCATTTGTAACCTCAGAAGCTTGAATAACCCAGTTTCTAAAATCATCGTACTCGCCAGGCTATGCAAAGAACATATAATTAGAGCAGCCTTGACTATTTCTATTGAAACAGCTTTTGCAGCTTCTTGTTAGTTCTGATAGCAGGAATGTTGCTGCTTCTGCACTAATTGCTCTAACAACCTTCTGAGGGCTCAGCCCTGCTGCTTGTACGTAGGGTTCCTGCTGAGCACGCTGCTCCTACAGCGCAGGGGCTGCTGGCAAGAACAGGGAGCAGTGCTGGCTGCTGCTCGGCAAGTTTTTCCTCCATAAAAACCAGAAGAGGCATATCGCTTGTTACTGATGCACTTTGTCGCTGTGATCTGCTCAGGTGAATGCCTCTGATTCCATGAGGAGCTCCGCGGCTCTGTCTGCACTGCTCAGCTGTGACTTTCAGGAGCTGTCTTTCTCTACTGGGAGAGGGAGGAGCACCCTTGGGTGAAAAATGATGAACGCAACTAAGATGTCATCCCTCTGCTGATTAACTCACAGTTTTATATGGGGGGAAGGTGCTCGAGCTTCCTTTACACTCTCTTACCTTTGACATGTTTAAGATTCTCCAGGGTAGGAGAGCTTTTTTGGCTGTGATTCTCAGCTGACACCTGGCATTTCCACGTGGGGAGCAGCAGGGCACAGCGCACCTCTCTGGGGCATAAACTCCTAGAACTGCTCAGCCTCGGCTGAGGCCGTGCTTGCGAGTGAGCTTCTTTGCCCAGCTGTGTCGCCATGTCCCTGCACTCTCAAACTCCAGCTGTGCCTGCACAGAAGACAAATCAGCCACGCGTCCCAAAATGCCTAAGAAGACCATCAGAGATCAGAGCTTCCCACACCAAAGGCAAAGCTTCCCCTTTAGAGCCCCGGCTGATGGTGGTGGGGTCAGGTTTGTGCATTAGCAAGCCAGGATCTTACCATGCACCATAGGTTAGAGTGGTGCATTTGAAATACTTTAACAAAAACTTTATCAGTCCCTCTCACTGGGGAATTTGCCTGATATGTTGCAATCATCTGGATATTTTAACAGTTTCAATAGACTTGCATCAAAATCATTTTGCCATCATCTTGACATAGTAATGTAGTCTCCAGTGACTGCAGTGACATTATTTTGCCATCATCTTGATATCATCTATTACAGCGTTGTGGTCCCCATGCTCTGGCATTGCTGAGTGCTTTGCCTCATTATATTATTTTCATAAGCTTGCTCTGAAATTAGTGCAAGAGAGCTGTGGTTTTCATAGCCAGTTACATGCATAGGGGGAGTTCCCTGAAATCAGAAAAGATATTTCAAGTACGCTGATCAGCTATTTTAAGAACACTCCAGATTTTTAACATTTTTCCTTTAAATGACCAAAATGTTTAATTCATACAAAACTGCCAGAAAAATGTTCACTTAGGAGGTAAATGATGTTTTACTCAGAATTTGGCAAGAGTACTGAGAACCGGTTCCAAATTATGCTTTTGTTCAATTCTCCATCATTAAAAGCAACATAAACTTGCTTAATCTTTTCGGGATGTGCACTGGAAGAAACATTGTTTATTGTAGCCTGAAATATTCTTACATTCGTGACCCAATGATTCCTACGGTTGTGACCCAACTTACTCTGAATCAGCCCAGTCCTCAGCTGTACCATTTTAAGTTTTGAGCACAAACTTTCCCATGCATATCACAAATACCTTCACAGGCGCAGATAATTTCAGAGGTGAAATTACCTCTGTTGAATTGAATTTGAATCTCTTGTTGAAGTGACTTTGATAGGGGAAAAGCTTGAGTTTGGGCTTAGCCTGAACAGATTTGGCTAAATCCACGTTGAACTCTGCCATTCTTAGTGGCTAAGACAAACTCAGCTCTTCAATGGGGTCGTTAATGTGAGTGTGAAGTGTGCACATAAGTACTTGGAGGATCCAAGAGTGCAAGAGCCAGATGTAAAGATTCCCACTGACTTTAATGGCTTTAAAATGGCTTCAGCAGATTTAGATCAGGCCCTTAGAGAGCTTCTACTTGTTAATATTTGTAGAAACAGGAGGAAATTTTAAGCTTGGTACATCTGTCAGTGCACAACGGTAAGCCTCTGGCAATCCTGTAAGTACTGGAGTTTGGAACTTAAATACGGAAAGCGCTGTCTGCGGTGGTTCAGCTCTGCAAAGGCCAGGAACAAGCTACACCACTGACAGAACTGGAGAGAGCTGACACGGGACCTGATGCTAAGCAGCAGTTCATATTTTGTAACCTTTCTGTAAATCGCCCGAGGGTCCCTGCTTCTCAAAACCTTGTTGTTTTCGTGTCTCAGCTCCACTGGTCTCTCTTTCACCTTTTTAGTTAATCGCATTTTCTCAAGAAAACAGCAATTAAAAACAGGTATCTAATGAAGGCATTAATCTTCTTTTCATGCCTTCGTAGGAGGCCATCAGATTATAAACATGAAGTTGGGAAATAAAATTAGTTTGATTATTTCTTAATCAGGGGGAAAATGATTGTTTTATTTTATTTTATTTTATTTTTTCCATTGATGTTACCCTTTTCAAAAGCACACACGTAGCAGGAGTTTTAAAATTTCAGCTTTTAAAGGATGTTGTCTCACATTCCAGTACTGATCCTTGCAGTATTGTCTCTTGGTTGGCTGCCCTTTCATTTCTCTTCAATTACAGCTCTCTCAAAAGCTGTATAGAGAAAGATGCAAAAGAATAACACAGGCCATTATTCCAGGCTTTCAGTGGTGGTAGACTCCACTACAGCAGCCGTTCAAATAATGACTGAGCTATCGCTTCCCTCGGAAGCTGTGCTGACAAAATGCCACCAACAAAATTCACGGACTTGGTTAATGTTTAGTTGTGACAAGTTATAGGGATGATATGGAATCTCTTTCCGTTCAAAACCAGAATTATCTCGTAGCTCTGCAAGCTATATTAAATCTCCATTAGCTCAAAAATGAGACTGAAATCAGGCCATTCATCCACAGACATCTGCTGAGCTTGCAGATGAATAAAACTTTGTGCTTCTCCCCTATATTCAGGGGGTTGGCAAACAAATAATTATTTTCTGTTTCTATTTTGTTCATACAAAGCCACCAGATCTGGGTGCAAATACATGCAATAGTAAATCTCCCATTGTCTCTACCCAGAGCTGTGTCTGGGTCCATCTATTTGCGAGTTGTTCAGTCTCTTGTGGGAAAAAAAAAGCTGCCTGGTAGCCCTGTTAGCATGCCAACAATCATAAATGTGGGGTATTTTATGGGGAACTGCTTGTGCTAGGGAATGGTCCCGACAGAAGCAGCCGCTCTCACCGGGCTGAGGACCTGTACCCATCGGTTAGCAGCTCCTTGGGCAGAAGAAGAAGCAGGCATAGGCTTATCTTCACGGCTTGTCCCTTGCCAGGGCAGGTTGGAGCTGCAACCAGGAGGACAGGCGAGCAGTTACAGATGTAGGACACGTGGGAGAAGGAGAATGGGGAGCAGGTTGCTGGGGCTTTTCTCTTCTAAAGAGATTTGGATAGAATGAAAATAGGGTCGGTGGGCAAATGCAAGTGTTTAATTAAGGGGCAATGGAGTGAACAAGGGTAGGAAAAGGGAGAGATGGAAAATCACAAGACAGAATTGGGGAGAAAGTAATGGAGTTGGAAAGCTCAAGGGTCCTCTTCTAATTCTGTGGCTTTTTGACATTACTTCTGGAGGAGGCTCCATACAGCACTGCTGTAGGAGGGAAGTCTTGGGGAGGTTTTTTGGCCCTGGTGGAAGGGACATGGCTTTGGGAGGGGAGGAGAGGCTCTGCACGAGGAGCACTTCTTACATGTTAGAACAGGTGACTGAAGGTTAATTCTCAGCTCGGGCAGAGCCCCTTTTCCCCAGAGGCAGGGAATGGCATTTGGAGCCCATGTGCCGAAGCCGGTGAGATGAGGTGGGTAGGCACAGCTCAGCAAGGAGGGAAAAGGGCTTTTGCTCGGGGGCCTGGGGCTGAGGCAGAGTGCAGAATCTTTCAAATGCTTCTGCCAGGCTCTGCGTGCATCTTTTATTTTAAAACAATGAATATAGTTGCTCTTAATTTATTGTAGGATTCTCGGAGCTGGCAGATCACCAGCGTTGTTTCTTCTCTCCTTGGATTAGCCCAGCCAGCGCGCTCTGTATTTCCCTGAGCTGCTTCTGCCAGTGTTGTTGTTTTGAATCCTGCAACACCAGCTAAGTCAATCAATCACCACAATCAGTGCTGGCATTGAGGCACAAAATAACATGGAAGGAAAAAAAAATAACAAAAAACAAAAGGCAAACCACCACGCTGCAACACAGCGAAGGGCTGGGTGGCACTGAAATCAAGAGCAGACACATCCTGCCAGTGGCTGCATCAGCTGGCGGCTCCCTGCTGCGGGGCTGTGTGTGCATGCACATGTGTTGTGGCTTTCTCTTTTCTGCTACAAGTTGGAGAAACTTGGCCTGCTGCACTAGGAAAATAATCGAGTGAAACAACAAAATATGTAATGCATCCATCGCTCTGTAACTCCAGTCCAGGCTGCAGCAGAATGGGGAAAGGATTTCTGATTAAGCAGATTAGTTTGATGTGCTTGTAATACATGCTTTATTAACGTGTAACTGTTACTGATGAAATACATTGTGCAACAACAACAAAGAAACACACACACAACAACCCCACCTCCTTTCCAACAGCCACCCTGAGAACTCTGTACCTGGGCTTATATAGGAGGGAAACGCAAAAAGCCCTTCCAGGCTGAGCGTGCGGCCACGGGGCCAGCGGTAGGTGCTAAAATTCAGACAGTTGTGCTGCAACCTAGCTGGAGAAAAGGCTGCCAACACAGTCCCCAGCTCACTAAAGCATTAAAACGTCTGCTCCAGTACGTAAATACACGCAGGAGGGGTTGCCTGTAGGCTTGAGGTGAAGCACCTGCTTAAACACCCTGCTGAGATTGTGACACAGAGGGCAGGGATGGCCGGAGTGCTGTGCTGTGCTGTGCTGTGCTGTGCTGGCGGCCAGGCAGACTCCCACCTCACCACAGTAACTTCTTTCAGATGGGGCAGGGGAGGCTCTAGCGAAGTGAATTGTGTTTTGAAAAGCCATCCAAGTCCACCTGCAACTTTAAAAGCGTGGTTTCTGATCGGTGTACCTCTTGAAAGCTTCCACGGAGGTAGGCTCTGCAACCTCCCCAGGCGATCTCTTCCAGTGCTTAACCAGCCATATTATTACCAAGACTTTCCTAATGTTTAACCTAAATTTCCTGTGCTGCTGCTTAACCCAATGCTACTTATCCTATCCTCAGCGAATAAAGAAAACTATTCCTTTCCTCTTGATGTGCACGTGTATTACACATGTAGTTGTTCCCAGCCTTTTCTTCTGCAGGCTGGCTGGGAATGTTCTTCCAGGTTCCCCCGCAGCTCACCTTTCCTAGAGCTCTGGCTCTCTGCTAGACCTTTTCTGTTGGATCCACATCTTTTTCTTTTTTTTTTTTTTAAAGCTGAAATATTGAGATGTGTTTCCCCCAAACTGGATACATGGCTCCGGATGCTACGGCATTGTATTCTGAGCAAACATCCTCAGAACAGCCTGCTGTCATCCGTGCAGCCCTCCTCAGCCTTGCTGTATGCAGAAAGTAAGTCACTCTGTTCTGACAAACAGGACTGCAGTGGAAGTGCTTTAACAAAAGCAAATCCAGGGCAGATGCCTGCAGAAATGTACTTTACAACATCCTTCCAGTTTGACTGAGAATTTTGTAGGTTGGGGTAGACTGTATTTTTCCTAGCTTGCTTATGACCATGTTCATGAGAAGGCCAATACTGGAAAGCTTTAATAAAGCTGAGATTTATCTACTGCTCCCCCCCCCCCTCCCCATTCCCACTGAAGGAAATTAAATTGGTTTAACAAATCAGTGTTTTTGACAAAGCCATGCTAGCTGTTACTCATCTCCTTGTTATTTCCTGAGTGGTTACAAATAATTTGATTGTTTCCGTATTTTTCCAAAAACTGACCTTCACTCACTGCACTTTAATTCCCCGTTACAATTTTTTCCCTCGCTGTGAGGGTAGGCACTGTAAGCCAGTTTTTTGTCTTCTGGATATTCACCCGTCTTCCACGAGCTCTCAGAGGCAACCACTAATGGCTCCGAGATTGCTTCAAACAGTCCAGTAGGATACCTGCGGATGAATTGTATCTGACCCAGGCAATTTGAAAGATCTAATTTATCTAAGCACTTATTTAATCTGTTCTTCCCTGTTTTCACTTATGTTTCTACCCCTTTGCCACTTTTGCTGTTTCCTGCCTGATCTCATTTGACCATTTTAGTAAAGATTGCAGAAAAAAAAAAAAAAAAAAAAAAAAAAAAACACTCAGCCTTTTCAGCGTTGCCTGTCAATAACTTTCCCTGTCTGTTGAATAGCAGGTTTTTTCCTCATCTTCCTCATATTATGAAGTATGTTTGCAGAATGTTTTCTCGTTATCCTTTCAGCACCTTGCTGGATGTGTTCCCCGTTCTCGCTTGACCTCCCTGGTTTGGGCCCTGCATCCTCTCTCTGCTTTCATCCTCACCTAGGTTCAGCTTTCTGCATGCTTTTGGTGCTCGAGGTCAGTAAGAAGTTCATGATTTAGCCAAGGTGGTTTCTTACAACACTTCTAATGGTTTTGCTGCTTTGGGATAATTTGCACTTGTGCCCTTAACAGAACTATTTTAAGGAACTGTCAGCCACTCTGAGCTTGGTCCTCATGAGATATTACTTCCCAGTTCTCTGAGTTTATTTAAGCTGGCTTTCTTCAAGACTCTTCTTTTTGCCTTCCAGGAGCTGTGAGTTTTCTCATTCCATGATAACTATCACCCAAATTACTTTCTATGTTCATATTTCTAAACCTGTTTCTCTTGTCTATTAAAATTGAGAGTAAGGAGCTTTCCCTTCAGCTGCTTCTCCAGCCTGCTTCTCTGTCATCAGTGTGGAGTTTGTGCCCTGTGATACCCCAGTGTGCCTGCAGACAGCTCCAATCCCTCCCAGCCCCATCCCTCCATCATCTTCAAGCCTTGTGCTGTATGCACGATTCATCTCGTTGCCCTCCACAAGAAGTAGCTCTGTCCATCTGTTCTTTGTGGCTTTACCCCAGGCACCCCCCAGCCCCATCACTGTTATTAGTGAGGGGTTTTCGACCGGTACATTTCTTTCCACATTTTATGCTGTGGAGTGAACGTGTCTATTGGCAGCATTTTATCCCTTGTCTCCCTGAACAAGCTATGCTATCTATATTAGTATTCCAGTCACATGAATTATCCCAACAAGTCTCTCATGCCAATTAATTCATAATTTTGATCACGTATTAAAACTTCCAAGTCCTCCTGTTTTTCTATATTTCTTGTGTGAGCTCTCGTGATTACTTTTTGCAACTGCACCCAGTGTACATCAGGAGTAACTGTGAAGTCGGTGGGTTGTGTTTTGCTGTCGTTTACATGAGTGTCAATCCAAAGTGATTTCACTGATTGGCACAAGGTTATTGCAGATTTACTTGCATGAGAGTGAAGGAAGAATTTGGCCCATCGAAATGAATTCTGTGTGAAAGAGGTCTCGGCCAGGAGGATTAAGCATGTTTGTCTAATTGCTAGATGTGTTATATTGTATGTAATCAGTGTAATGGCAATAAAATGGTTGCCGCACCCAGAATATTTCATCACCGAGCTTTTTGGATCCTATAATTGTCTTTCCCTTGTTACTGTGCTCACATTAATAAGGTGCAAAGTTTTACATAATTTGAAAATTTAGGGAAAGAAAAAAAAAAAAAAAAGGAGGAGAGAAATGTAGCTGAGGTGTGCATGAAAACCAAATGTACCAAGTAGTTTCTGCTACAGCAAAGCAGCAGAATGTGAGGTAGAAAAAGTCAGCTTTTGAGGTTTTATTACTTTTTGCTTTGTGATGACTGGCTTCGAGCCCACACATTTCTTGAATACACAATAGGGAGTTGGGCAAGACTGCAGAAATAAATTTTATTAACACACAATCACTGCAGCACCAGACAGAATAATCTCCTTTAGTCTCCTCTAGCTGGCAGAGTCCTCTTTGTACCAGGTCAAGTCAATTAGCAGTATAATGTATGACAGGTTTTATTTAAAAAGGGTTTAATTAAAGTTTTGTTACAAAGCTCATACAAACTAACAATCTGTCTTTTAGGGATATGTATTATCTAGAAATTGATTTTAACTTAAACACTAATTTATAGACTGTCCCCTTTAATAAGTGTAATTCCTTGGAAGATATTAAGGTCTTCCTGCCCCAAATAAATTCAGGTCCTGATTCAGCAAAACACGTAATTACTAAGGACTTCAATGAGGCCACTCATGCACTAAAAGCTAAAGGTGTGCTTGAGCACTTTGCTGAACTGGGGCCTTGCTGTATAGCGACTGCCCTGATTGCACATATTGTGCAGTTTGGTCATGTCTGCACTCAGAAGGCTGTTTTAAAGACACCACTAATTCTTCTAAACACCTCATACAGGCCATGAAAGTGGGAACATTTCCTTCTGCAAGATACAGGTGGTTTTTCACTAGTTCTGGCGTCTTCTTAGTTCCTGCATCTAAATACAATTCATGTTACCTGTGTATGCATTTCCCCCCAAAATATTGACACCGCTGATTCCTCTCCTTCACTAGAGAGCAGGGGCTGGCTCCCCAGCAGATTTAGCTAGGCACGGCTGCGTTAACTTAAATGGAGCAATGTCAGTTTATGCCAACTTTATTTTCTTAATGAAAACTAGCTTTTATTTTATTGATTGCTAGGTATGAACCTTTGTTTTATTCTAATCCCTATGGAATAATAATACCCCCAAAAGCTCAAGAATATATCCCATTTCAGGATAACTTATAATTCATCATTATATATGTGTTTTGTTGGCTTTTTGTTTGTTTTTTCTTGTTGTTGTTTTAAAGTCCCAAGCTAGAAAGAGAAATGGCTGGATAGGAAGGATTTGTGTGCAGAAAAGATGCCAGGTGTTTCTCTAGCTCTTGCCCGAGCAGTGTGGTTATACTACATCAAAACCTTTGGAAAACTAATTTGCTTGATGGCCGGGAAGGCAGGCAAACTGGGCTCTGTAATCTGCCTGGGAGACACCCCAGAGCTTCCTACACGTTTGCAGTCGGTGCAGGAGCTGAGACAGCTGGGCCCTGCCAGGGGCAGCCGACACAGTTGGGTGCGATGCTGTCCCCGAGCCCCACTGCTCCAGGCAGCTCGGGAAGGACCCGGCAGCACCCGAGTTGTTAGCTCGGGGCTGCCAGTTCACAGCGATGGCTGGAGACACCACGAAGCTTCAAAAGGCATCTGTCTGTTCACAGCACATTTGGAAAGTTAGGCCTTTTTGTGTTGTAATGTTTATTACCGAAATGAAGCCCCCTAATTTTTTATTTTTACTGTTAAGTCTTTGAGGCACATGGAACAGAGGCCAGAATTTGCTTTGATTAATCTTCAGTCTGTTTCTGCTGTGTTCTTCCCCATGGTATAAATCTAGACTGCAGCTGGTAGGGGGTTGTATGCCTAAAAAAAGTCTCAGCACCAAAACATTCAAAGTAGCAAGTTTGTGTTGCCTACTTCTATGTCTGGATAGTCGGAAAACCAAAATATAATTCAAATATTTATTTTTTTTCTGCCTTATGCTGAGAAGAGGCAGAGAAGAAAGGCATGCATTTGAAATATGCATATTAAAAGAGGGGACAGGCAGAGGGAGGGAGAAACAAGTGAATTCAGAAAAGCCGAAGAGAGGAATCAAGAAATTTTTGAATAGAGAAATTCTGTGGGACAAAACCTACACTCACAGACTTCAGTGAGCCCTCCGACACTGGAAGCGGCTCGGGCTATTTCATCGAGATGGCCATACTTGTTTCAGCATAGCTGTTGGGTGGGGATGCCTGCCCTAAGACAGATCATAGGCTGCCTCTTAGCTAGAAGAACAGGCTTGCTCATTTAAAATTGAATCAGGCTTTGAGCTTATGCTTGCTGCAGAGAAGCATATCAAATGGAATAGTTTGCAGAAGTCTCAAATAGTCTGATCTTCACCAACCAAATTCTTCAAAACTTGTCCAGGATCCGTGCCCAGTCATCTTGCAAGCTGAACGCGTGCTGGCCATACCATATTTTATGAAAGCTGGAGGCACCTCTGGTTAGTTGTGCAAGCCCTAGCGCACGCCAGGGTGTGGGGCTCTGCCGGAATAACCACCCGGCTCCCGAGTGCTGGAGGCACAAGCTCAGCCTGTGCTCCTAGCTGAGGTTACCAGGCTAAGGGACAGCTGAGCCGTGTGGCTAAACACAGAGATTTTCACTGACTGGATTTCTCGTTGGCCAGTCAGAAGGCCTGCGGGGTTGGTTGTTGTTGCTGTTTGGTTTATTTGTTGTCTTTTGACTTTGCCAGTTTGTACAAGTGTGTGTGACCACATTGTTCGCAGTGTGTGGGATTAAGGGAGAGTCAAGTGTTCAAGGACTCGTGTCCCATGTTCCCGGC